CACCACCCATCACCATCCCCTTCTTCCCCAAACCCCTTACCCTAAAACCACCAGCGACTGCTGTCGACGCCATCACCATCGCCGTCGCCGTCGATGCCACCACTTCTTCCACCACCACTCAACCGCTCACCAATAGCACAAAAACCCCTCCCAAAAACTTCGAAGGCAGTATATACCTAAGCACGTCCAATAAAAATTACTTGTCATTGGAAAGCTCAGCATTTGCTACAAATAGATATAGATCTTGATTTTTCTTGCTTGTCTCCTTTTTTTATTTAATTAAAAACATTCACAAAATTCAAGAAGACTGGCGTTATGTAAGTACATGCAATTTGGGATTTTGTGGGTTTGTTAGTGATTGTTTCGCGCGGGTAGTCGCTAACAATTAAAAGGAAATTCAGACGATTGTGTAAGAGACAAATCTCTTAAGACAAAGTCCCAAAAATGGGTGCTTTATTTATGAGACTTGAGAGTTACAATTGGAATTAAACAGAATGCCTCTAAGGGGCACAAGCACACGAGTACTGAAAGAAGGATAATTAAAGTTAATCTAAAAAATTGAAATTACATATTCTCTGTTTGAGAGTATTTGATTTGGGGTCCTTTCTCTATGTCCATCATTTCCTTTTATATTCCTATGATGATTTCTGATGCAGGAGGGTCCGAGNCACCACCCATCACCATCCCCTTCTTTCCCAAACCCCTTACCCTAAAACCACCAGCGACTGCTGTCGACGCCATCACCATCGCCGTCGCCACCCCACGTCGATGCCACCACTTCTTCCACCACCACTCAACCGCTCACCAATAGCACAAAAACCCCTCCCAAAAATTTCGAAGGCAGTATATACCTAAGCACGTCCAATAAAAATTACTTGTCATTGGAAAGCTCAACATTTGCTACAAATAGATATAGATCTTGATTTTTCTTGCTTGTCTCCTTTTTTTTATTTAATTAAAAACATTCACAAAATTCAAGAAGACTGGCGTTATGTAAGTACATGCAATTTGGGATTTTGTGGGTTTGTTAGTGATTGTTTCGCGAGGGTAGTCGCTAACAATTAAAAGGAAATTCAGACGATTGTGTAAGAGACAAACCTCTTAAGACAAAGTCCCAAAAAGGGGTGCTTTATTTGAGAAGATTACAATTGGGAAGAAGCAAAACGCCTCCAAGGGGCACAAGCACACGAAGTAAATTAAAAATTAGCAC